TTCTTTCTTTCTTTCTTTCTTTCTTTCTTTCTTTCTTTCTTTCTTTTTTTTCTTTTCTGAGACAGGGTTTCTCTGTATAGCCTGGGCTGTCCTGGAACTCATTCTGTAGACCAGGCTGGCCTCAAACTCAGAAATCCACCTGCCTCTGCCTCCCAAGTGCTGGGATTAAAGGCGTGCGCCACCACTACCCAGCTGCATTTTCTTAATTAGTGATTGATAGGAGTGAGCCCAGGCCATTCTGAGTGGTCCCTTCCCTGGGCTGGTCCTAGATTCTATAAGAAAGCCAGCTGAGCAAGCCATGAGGAGCAAGTCAGTAAGCAGCACCCCTCCATGGGCTCTGCATCAGCTCCTGCCTCCAGGTTCCTGCCCTGTTTGAGTTCCTATCCTGACTCCCTTTGATAATGAACAGCAATCTGGAAGTATAAGCCATAGTGTTTCGTTACAGCAATAGAAATTCTAACTAGGACAGTGTGTTTGTAAATGGGTCTATGTATGTGCACATGCTCTTAACCACTGACCTGTCTTTCTAAACCCTTTTTGATGATTTTTAAAAAGATTTCTTTATTTTATGTATATGAGTGCTCTCGCTGCATATACACCTCCATGCCAGAAGATGGAGTCAAATTCCATTGTAGATGGTTGTGAGCCACCATGTGGTTGCTGGGAATTGAACTCAGGACCTTTGGAAGAACAGCCAGTGCTCCTAACCACTGAACCATCTCTCCAGGCCCCTTTGTGCTGATTTTAAAAATTGTATATTTATTGTTCTTAGCAAGATGCATATGAATCTCCACTAGGCCTTTGGAAATAGTGAAAATGACTTATGAACATTCTCCTGCCTCCCGTAAGCCTTTTCTTATAGTATTAAAGAGGGCAGCCAATCTCAGTTTAAACTTGGCTTTCCCTCAGAAACAGTGTGCAGAATGCAGAAGTGCTCACAGATAAGTACTGGGGAAACCAGGAATGTTAATCACACAGAAATTTCTCCTCAATGAAGGAAATGAATACCGGTTTTCCATGCCAAAGGCTAGGAGTGGATATTGTTAGTTTTTTGGTGACCTTTGCTAACTGTAGAGCCAGGCCTCACCCAGACCTCCCAGACTGTTTCTCCTAAATTCTCCCTCCCTAAACCTTTCTTTGTAGTTTCATTTCTCGGCCAATAGAATCCATTTTTAGGGGAGATGTCACATGTACTTTATACCCTGGTGACCTCTATCAGCTAGACACCGCAACAGATCTTAGACCCTTAAGCTATAAAACCCATCTTCATGGTAGAGATCACATGTATTTTACAATAGTTTTTGGTGTGGTTACATATTAAGCTTTACTGTGCATATGGGACTGAGATAATCATTACCAGAAAACATTTTTCCAAAATTATATTGTACTTAAATATGTCTAAAATAAACTGGCCTGGAATCAGACTCCAGAAGTTTGAACCAGGACTGACTAAGTTGAGTTTTCCTTCTTACTTCAGGCAGATTGTGATGCTTGCAGGGAATCCATGACAGTGGATGTAGTTCTTACTAAGTCTGCTTGGTGTTCAGCATCAAAACTGAGAGGCTATTCTTTGATGCTTCCTTATAGCAATCCTGCTCTGCTTTCTCCTGGATGCTCTCCAGTGCACCTGCAACACATGTCCTCAGTTTCCCTGCTTGTATCTCAGCTATCCTCCTCTGGTAGCCAAATGGAGTTTATGAATATGCACTCTTAAAGATTATTTTGTGGCCGGGCGGTGGTGGTGCACTCCTTTAATCCCAGCACTTGGGAGGGAGAGGCAGGCGGATTTCTGAGTTTGAGGCCAGCCTGGTCTACAGAGTGAGTTCCAGGACAGCCAGGACTACACAGAGAAACCCTGTCTCGAAAAAAAAACAAAAACAAACAAACAAACAAAAAGATTATTTTGTTTTATGTGTGTGAGAGTTTTGGATGCATGTGTGTATATATACCACTTGTGTGCCCAGTTCCCATGGAGGTCTGAAGAGGGCATCAGATACAATAGAACGAGACTTCCGGATAGAGCTGGACCCCTAGTTGCGAGTGTCCAATGTGGGTGCTGGGAATGGAACCCAGGTTCTCTGTAAGAGTAGCAGGTACTCGTAGCCACTGAGCCTTCTCTCCAGCTCCAAATGCCCACCCTCTAGCAATCTAAAAACAATGATAAGAGGTATCTTTTTTTAAGAAAAGATTTATTTATTTTACTTATATGAGTACACAGAAGCTATCTTCAGACACATCAGAAGAGGGCATTGAATCCCATTACAGATGGTTGAGAGTCACCCTGTGGTTGCTGAGAACTGAACTCAGGACTTTAGGAAGAGCACTCAGTGCCCTTAACCACTGAGCCATCTCTCCAGCCCCAAAAAGTGTCTTAGAGTGTTTTTATGGCTAAATGATGCTTTCTGCCACGAAGATCTATGACTATGGACCTCTTACTATAGGTTCTCAGGGTTAGAAAGGATCTCAGAGCTGGGCAGTGGTGGCATACGCCTATAATCCTAGCACTTGGGGAGTAGAGGAAGGTGGATCTCTATGAGTTCAAGGGCTATATAATCAGTTCTGGGACAGCCAAGGCTACACAGAGAAACTCTGTCAAAAAGAAAAGGACCAGAAATCGTATACATATGAATACACAGTCCTCACAGTCAACTCTCCCCCCATTCTTTATTCTATGTTGCGTAGGTTGGTCTTAACCCTTGAGCCCAAGCTTTTGAGCTCAACTTCCCAAGTAGCTATTACAACAGCCAGCCCACCCCATAGCAACTGGATTTCACTTCCTGTTTTCCTGGCGGTTGTATAGTATGGAGTCAACTGGAGCACCAGATCAGTGAATCACTGCTCTTAGAGGAAACACGGGATTAACTTTCTGAGAGTGTCACAATTCTGTCAAGCAAGCAACACAAGATATTCCTTGTTTTGTGTATAAACTTATCGTTTACGAATTTATTAATAACGAAGCAAGGCCAATAGCGCTATTCTCCTCACTAGATATCCACCTGCCTGCCTCTGCTTTCCCAAGTGTTAGGGTCAAAGATCTGCTCATTCATAATCAAAAGAGACTCAGGGAACTCAGCTTTCCAACACGACAATCTTTATAGATAGAACAATCAAAGGAAAGTAAATAAATAGTGCCGAACAAGCAGTTGCTTTATTTGGACATGGTCTGATTATGATTGACTATGATCTGGCTGTTACAAAAAATATACATAGTTTCTGGGCAGTAATGGCCCATGTCTTTAATCCCAGCACTTGGGAGGCAGAGGCAGCTGGATCTCTGTAAATTGGAGGCCAGCCTGGTGTACAGAGCAAGTTCTAGGACAGCTAGGGCTACACACACACACACACACACACACACACACACCCCTGTCTCAGTTGTATATATACACATATACAAATATACACATATACACATATACACATACATATACAACAACTTATTTTGAGGCAGAGCCTGGACCAGGATGGACTTGAATTTGTTTTGAGATATGGTCAACAGAGAACACACAGACACTCTTAAAGCCAAAAAGAAAGTTTGTATTGCTGGCTCCTGGCTGCAGAAGATACTTGCCCAAATCATGCAGCCCTGGTTCTTTGTCTTTTATGCACAAACTCCACATTCTGGTTGGCAAACTTCAGTTAGCAAGAATAATTAACAGAATTATGGAAGCCAAAATGTCAGGCTAGCACATTTAGAGACTTTCCTGGTTCCTGGAACTATGGACCAGGTCTTTGGTGGATTTGGTCTTTGTACCATTTTTTGGCAGGTGTTGGGATCTACTTGCTGTTTTTAAGTTCAGAATAGTAACTCTAACATGGAGTCAGTTGTGTTAAGGTCTGAGAACCTGCTAAAAATTCACAGAGATCCATCCACCTACTTCTGCCTCCTGAGTGGATTACAGGAGCTCACTGCTATGCTGAGGGTTTTTGTTTGTTCATTTATTATTCATTCATTCATTCATTCATTTGTTATTGTTGTATTTGAGACAGGGTTTCTCTGTGTGGCTCTTGCTGTCAAGACCAGGCTGGTATTAAACTCAGAGATCTGCCTGCCTCCGCCTCTCAGGTGAGGATATTAAAGGCGTGAATCACTAAGCCCTGATCTGACTTAATTTTTAAAAACATCTGACTTTATTAGTGTACATCGTGCTTTAGCTCATATACTGAGTACTGTAACTACCCTCACAGGGATAGAACGTTTCTAACACTCTAAAGAATCTTCACAGGCTTCTGAGTTTCCTCTGAGGCCAGAGCTTCCATTTCAGGCCTTCCCTCTCTCACTGTAAAGAGGGGAAGCACAGAAACTGAGGCCTCCTTGAGAAACTGCCTGAATCTAGCACTAGCACATAGGTCAAAAGCCCCTATGAAGAACTTGGCCAAAGGACTGTCGCGCATGCGTAGATGCTCTACACTGCCTCTTCCCGCTATGTTCCCGTAACGCGGCCCCGCCCCCGACGCCGCGGCCCCGCCCCCGACGCCTGGGGCTGGGACAACCGGACCGGAACCGGCCTTGGTTCAGCAAACCCTCAGTCTGTAGAGGAACTTGTTTGCTGTTGTAGCCATGCCTTCCGTTGCGTTGAAGTCTCCGCGCCTGCGCCGGGTGTTCGTGGTCGGCGTTGGTATGACCAAGGTAAACAGAGCTGTGAGCAACCAGAGATCTGCCTCTGTTATTCCCGGCAGCCCGAGGCGACAGGGAAGCGCTGCAGGGGGAGGTCACAGTCTGCGCTGCTGTCCCTTCGCTCCAGAGAGGCGACTCTAGGGTGTATGATGCTGTCACTAGGGTCGCAATGTCTCGGGCTTGTCCTCTCAGCCGTTTTTTCTTCGCCTTCCTGTTTGCCTTTTCTAGCTGTTTAGTCTGTGAAGGAGCTCTCAACACAACACAAATCTCACACTTCCTTAGATTCTAAATCCGGAGCTATTTGTGAGCATTAGGATACGCAGCTAGAATTGCTGCGAGTTTGGGGTCATAGAGGACTATGTAGCAAGACCTTGTTTCACATAACAAAGCAAACCAAACCGGCAAACAAAACAAACAAACAAAAAAACATTTGGAACTTGGACAGAGGCCAGGCTGAAAGACAAGATCGTGAATGCCACCAGCTCTGTAGTGGCTTTAAGTGCCCTTCTCAGATAGCAGCATGTGTGGCTGTGGGCTTCTAGTTGGGAGCTAATAGAAGCTCAGCTCTTAACGCAGGTCCAGGTTCCCTTGATCTTCTGACCTTATTGCTGTTTCTCTGGGTCTAAGCAACCGGAAGCTTTCATAGCCTTTTCTCCCAATACTCTAACTCGGCTCTATGCTCTAGTAATGCCAGGTTACTTGTAGTTCTGTTTTAGTCTCTGCAGCTTTGTATCTAGTGGCGCTAATTGCACCAGCTGACTTTCCCTGGTTAACATCTTTGTTCTCTTAAAGGACAGTTTAGATCTTACCGTCCAGAAAACCCTTGATTATCTTGGCTTTCTCACAGGGCCTTCAACTTAGCTCTAATTTACTTTGATGTGCTGGAATTCTTTGTTTAGATGAATATATTCTCCTAATGTATTGCTACAGGGTGGGTACCACAATTATTCACTGCTGTATCACTCACAGTGATAATCACTAGAGCCAAGACAGTGTTAGTTGATTGATATTAGATGGATGAACTTTGTGAAAGAGTTACTGTGAAGAATTTTTTTTTTTTACTGTAAAGAAAAAAAGCCTTAAATTTTATATTATCTTAGTAGCAGATGAGAACACATAATTCATTCAAAACATGTAAATAGAAAAGTTGACTAATATGTTATAAAACTTAATCCCACTGTTTCTCAGATGGGGAGCTTCTGATATAGTAAGTAGGTGGGTAAACTTTCAAAAGTATTCTCTAGATTTTTTTAAACAGTATCTTATATGGCCCTGGCTGACTTTAAACTTTTTTTCTTCTTTTTCTTCTTCTTCTTCTTTTTTTTTTTGGTTTTTCGAGACAGGGTTTCTCTGTGTAGCCCTGGCTGTCCTGGAACTCACTCTGTAGACCAGGCTAGCTTCAAACTCTGGAACTCAGAAATCCGCCTGCCTCTTCCTCCCAAGTGCTGGGATTAAAGGTGCGCCACCGCCTGGCTCTTTCTTTTTTTTTCCTTCTGATTCAGCCTCTCAGACTTCTCCCCTGCTGAACCTGTGGGTGTCCCATCCCCCCTGCCCTACTAGTATTTTAAAGCTCCTTCTATTGGTTGTTTAATGTTTGTTTATATGGGCTGTATAGAAAAAGCCTAGGACTGGAGAGATGGCTCAGCGGTTAAGCTGACTTAACCGCTCTTCCAGATGACTGCTCTTCCAGAGGTCCTGAGTTCAATTCCCAGCAACCACATGGTGGCTCACAACCGTCTGTAATGGAATCCCAACGCCCTTTTCTGGTGTGTCTGAAGACAGTGACAGTGTACTCACATATATAAAAAATAAATAAATAAATAATTCTTAAAAAAAAAAAAAGAAAAAGCCTAGTTTCTGGGTGGGGAAAAAAGGTATTTTTCTAGTTGGGAGGTTGAGGTGAAGAGGGCGTTAATATTCCTTAGGGGGGAGGAAAGGAAAGGAAAGATGGTTTCATCATTTAAGCATATATGTAGTACATGTGCTATGTGTTGTATGTGAGGGTGACCGTGACAAAAATGAATAAAAGCAAGATTGGGCTGGGAATGTGACTCACTCAGTAGACTGCTTGCTAACCATGCATGAAGCCCTGGGTTCCATCCCCAGTCTGCATAAACCAGGCATGGTGATGTATACCCATCCTTTCATCATTCAGAGGGTAGAGATAGGAGAATCTAAAGTTCAGGGTTGTCCTCAAGTTCACATAGCAAGTTCAGAACCAGCCCAGCTTATGCAAGCCCTTGTCTTAACCAAAGAACAAGGGCTGGCAAGGTGACCAGTGGGTGAAAGTGTGTCCCATTAGGCCTGGCAGCCTGAGTGTGCCCCTACGCATATACACACATACTTATACACAAACTAAAGATACATTTATTTTAGAAATGTAATATTTGTATTTTATATAATATAATTTTTATAAATAAAATTTTATTTATTTATTTACTTATTTATTTATTTATTTTTTGAGACAGATTTTTCACTGTAGCCTGGGCTGTCATGGAACTCACTCTATAAACCAAGCTGGCCTTGAACTCACAGAAATCTGTCTGCCTCTGTCTCCTGAGTGCTGGGTTTAAAGACAGATTTTTTTTGTTTTGTTTTTTTGTTTTTTTGGTTTTTTTTGAGACATGGTTTCTCTGTGTAGCCCTGGCTGTCCTGGAACTCACTCTATAGACCAGGCTGTCCTCGAACTCGGAAATCCGCCTGCCTCTGCCTCCCAAGTGCTGGGATTAAAGGCGTGCGCCACCACCGCCTGGCCTGACAGATTTTTAAAAACCCACATAAACAAACAAATAAAAAAAAAAAAAAGAGGAAAAAAAAGATAATTTGACATTTTTAGTTAAGCATGGAAGATTGAAAAAATGAACTTTTTCTTTCTAAATATCATTAAAACAGTGAGGAACAGTGCACACTGGAACAGAAACTGTAGGAGAGATGCCAGGAAATATTAAAAGTGGATAGAAGCCAGGCTTGGAGGCATCGTGCAACTCTGCAGGTGGTGGCGGAATCCTCTCAAACCAAACAAAACCCAACTACCACAAAACCAAGGGAATTAGTTGAAATTCTTCAGGTGGTGCTGCCTAGCTCTGTTCCTAGAAAACACACCCAAACATTCGCTACCATCCTGGCCGAGGCTGGGAAAATTATTTGAAATGATTCCAGGAAAAAGTCAGCTTGTTAGGATGCTATCTTGTGTGAGACTGAGTGGGTGATGAGCCTCACTCACGCTCAGAAACCTTCAATAGCGTTAAATAACATTAGAAAAAAAGGTTAATGTTAGTGTGTGTGTGTATGTGTGTGTGGTGTGTGTGTGGTGTGTGTGTGTGTGTGGCGTGTGTGTGTGTGTGAGATGTGTGTGTGTGTGTGGTGTGTGTGTGTGTGGTGTGTGTGTGTGTGATGTGGTATTTGTGGTGTGTGTATGGTGTTTGTGGTGTGTGTGGTGTGGTGTGTGTGTGTGGTGTGTGTGTGTGTGTGTGCGTGTGTGTGTGCATATTCAGTGGTGAGCACACCGAGCTCAGGTGACAGCTTAGTGGAGTTGATTTTGTCCTTCCATCTTTGGAGGGTTGTAAGGAATCCAGGTCACAAGGCTTTTATGACAAGCACCTTTGCCTGCTAAGCCATCTTGCCAGCCCTGTTGAAACTTTTTATTAGTTTTAAATGTGTTGTTGGTCCTGAGGGTCAAGCCCAGTGCCTTAAGCATGCCAGGAAAATGCTGTAACACTGAGGCAGGCGCCTACGCTTCAAGGATAGGAAGTTTGAAGGCAGCCTGAGCATACAAGAGGGCCTTAAAAATCCAACAAACAAACCAACCAACAGGGAAGGCACAGAAATACTGAAGTCGAGTGGGCAGTAGTGATGTATGTGAGTATATGAGGTCTTTTATCTGTTACAAGTATTCCTAGCATTACCCCACGAAGAGGCCTAGACACAGTAACCAAATCAATGCTATTCTAGATGCTAAGACTGAGGTCCTGAAATATCTTTATTTTTTCCAGAGAGAGGGTCTTACTTCATCCCATTCAGACCTCATACTTACTATGTAGCTCTGGTTGACTTTGAACTTGTAGCCCTCTGCCTCTACCTCCTGAACATCCAGATTACAGATGTGTGCTATCGTGTCCTGTTTCTGTGGTCCTGGAGATGGAACCCGAGGCTTCATGCATGTTAGATACTCTACCAACTGAGCTAGACCTCCAGGCTCCCAGACCCTTAACCCCTGAATATCTTTTCCTATGTAGAGATCCAGTTGGTTGGAGAAATTACAAAATCTAGGTGAGATAAGTGATCAAGATAGGTCTGGTGAATTTTGTCATAATTAATTGTGAAGACATCAGAGCCCCTTTGGGTTATGTCAAGATCCAGGTGTCAGCGTGACTAGCTAAGTTGAACTTTGTGTGTGCTCAAGGCTAGGGGACAGCCCCAGGTACTGTTCCCCAGGCACCTCGCCTAGCTTGTTGTTTTGTGGGGTGGGGGGGGGCAATCTCTGACTCACCAAGGTGGTATGTGGCTAGTCAATGAATTCCTGTGATCTGTCACCCTAGGGCTAGGGGTCATTAATAGATGACCAGAGTGGGCCTTACGCAAGGCAAGCAGTTTTCCAGTTAAGCCACTTCCCCAGTCCAACCATTTGACCTTTAAACATGATAATAGTTGTAAAAGATCAAAGCCCATCACGTGTGCCTAAATAGACATGTTTATATCTTAAAAGCAAATCTTTCTAGGACATTGGTGAACCTATCCGTCTTCTTCAAAACTGGCAAATAAGGGGAAACTGTCATCTAGCTGTAGTTATTACCAGTGATAAAATTCAACTTCCTAGGAGTCTTGTATCTGCTAGACAAGTTCTCACTAAAATAAGAAAACATTGCTAATGAGGTAAGCGTTGACATTAACAAAGGTGAGGTTGAGAATTTTTATTAAAATTTGGAAGAGATGTATAACTCATAGAATTACTAATGTTTTGTTTGTTTTTTTTGAGACAGAGTCTCTCCACATAGCCCTGGCTGTCCTGGAACTGATTGTGTAGACCAGGCTAGCCTTGAACTTGTGGAGATCTGCCTGCCTCTGCTCCTGAGTACTGGGGTTAAAGGTGTGTACCGCCACAACTGGCTAGAATTACTAATTAAAAATTTTTTAATAATTTTATTTACAAAATAAATTGCCCCCATCCCTCTGAATTACTAATTTTTAAATTTTGTTTTACTTTGAAACAGGATCTGGTTAGTCTAGGTTGGCCTCCAACTTACTATATAACAGTAATGACTGTTCAGTTTTTCATGAGGGGTTCATTGGTATGGTTTCAGATTTCACATCACAATTGATCTTAAAATTCTTTCTATGTGTTAAGTTTTACTTAGTATTAGATTGAGATATCCCCAGCAGGGGAAGTGGCTCATTAGCAGAATCACCACACACCAAGGCCATGTTTTCTTGTTGTTTTTTGTTTGGTTGTCATTTTTGTTTTTAAGACAGGGCCTCACTGTGTAGTCTTGGCTAGTCTGAAACTTGCTATGTAGACCTGGCTGGCCTAGAACTCACAGAAATCTGCCTTTTCTTTTCTACTTCCCAAGTAGTGGGATCAAAGGGGTGCAAGCCCTGCACAGCACATGCAGACATGAACATTTTTTTTAAAATGAAAGAATATTTAAATATTTATCTTTCAAATTGCGTGTCTGTGTCATGTAGATTTATTTCATAGATTTATTGCATAGACTTCAGCCAAACCAATGTAAAACTAAAATTAAGCTGCAGATGGGAATAAGTATCAGATATGAGTCTGTTTCTCGTTAAATCAACTATCAACAGGAATAACGGAAATGTGGCCCCGTGGGATGACCCAAGTGGGTGCATAGCCCCCACACTTGATGACCTGAGTTAGATCCCAAAGATTTGTATGTCTGCTGGAGGACAGAACCACATCTTCCAGGTTGTCTTCTGGATGTGCACACAAAATACATAAATGGAAGAAAAGATGGCTTCCTGAGAAGCCTTTCTTATTTTCTCTCCTAAATGATAGATGTCTTTCCAAATCACTCTATCCTTATGCTGGTGTCACTGCCTATTTCACATTAGACTAAAGCTCCCTAATGGGGAGGACTGCAGGTTTTTATGTTCAGAGTATAGGAACATGGCAGAAGTTCAATAGTGTGTGTGTGTGTGTGTGTGTGTGTGTGTAGGCTGGGAGGGGTGCCCTATGGCGCATGTATTCTGTGTGTCAGAGAACAACTTTTGGAACTCAATTCTCTCTTTCCATTGTGGGTTCTGAGTTCCTAGGATGTCAGATTTGTGCAGGAAACATTTCATTTATTGTCCCCCTCCCCCCTTTGTCTTAGGATGGTGTCATGTGTCTCAGGCTGATCCAGACTTGGTGTGTAGCAAGCTTCCAGCTGGGATTACCAGCCTTGGCGACCATGTCTGGTTACTTTACCAACTTAATCATATTCTTAGTACAGTGTTTTTATTTGAATGAATAACTGAATGAATTTTTGTGATTCCGTTGTAAAAAACAAACAGAACCCTCAATACCTGTTTCTACTTATCCTCTTCTGTCCTCTAGTTCATGAAGCCTGGAGGTGAGAATTCAAGAGATTATCCTGATCTGGCAAGGGAAGCAGGTAACAGAAAAATCATATTTTTAAACAGCTAGTAGCTGATTGTATAGTTTGTACTTATTCCATGAGTGGAGCGGCCTTGCAGGCACAAAATAAACAGTTGTGGGGACATGTGGCTTGCCCATGGTGTAGTGGAAAGAGAAGGAAAAGATATGTGGGCAGTCTTTGTAGCTGTACAGCTAGAACAGACAGTATCATAGCCTTTCTTGTGTTATTAAGCTGTGTGTTGGGATAGCATCCTACTCAGCTTTGACTGTCAACTTGACACAGCCTAGAGTCACCTGAAAAAGGAGTCTCAATTGAGGATTGTCCAGGTCAGATTGGCCTGTGGGCATGTCCTGGGGGGCATTGACTGTTAATGGATGTGGGAGGGCCCAGCCCACAGTGGGTGACACCATTCCTTGGGCAAGTAGTCCTGGGTTGTGTAAAAAAAGTTGGCTAAGCATGAGCCTGTGAACAAGAAAGAAAGAGCCCTCCAGCAGTGGTCCTCCATGGGTCCTGCCTTTAAGTCCCTGCCCTACTTTCCCTCAGCAATAGACTGTGAAATGAAGTTTAAGCCAAATAAATAAACCCTTCCCTTCCCTAAGTTGCTTTTGGTCAGAATGTTTTACAGACGGCACCTAGGACAGATGATAAAGGCAGCCAGGAAAAGAAAAGGAGGGTCATTGTCTTGGTCGGTGTTCTATTGTAATGAAGAGACACCACAACCAAACCAATTTATAAAAGAAAACATTTAATTGGGGGCTTTCTTAACAGTTCCAGAGGGCGAGTCTGTCTGGCAAGTGCAGAGCATGGCCACCGACAGACAGGTGCTGGAGCAGTAGCTGAGGGCTTGCATCCTCATCCACAGGCAGCAGGCAGGGGAGGACTAACTTTTGAAACTTCAAAGCCCACCCCTAGTGACACCTCCTCTGACGTTGCCATATCTCCAAATCTTCCCTAAACAGTCCACCAAATGGAACCAAACATTCAAATCCATGAGCCTCTGGGGGCCATTCTTATCCAAACACCAAAGCCATTGTGATGGTTTGTGTGGTCTGCCCAGGGAATGGTACTGTTAGAAGGTGTGGCCCTGTTGGAGTAGGTGTGTCACTGTGGGCTTGGGCTTTAAGACCCTCATCCTAGCTGCCTGGAAGCCAGTATTCTGCTAGCAGCCTTCAGATGAAGATGTAGAACTCTCAGCTCCTCCTGTACCATGCCTGCCTGGATGTTGCCATGTTTCCATCTTGATGATAATGAACTAAACTTCTGAATCTGTAAGCCAGCCCCAATTAAATGTTGTTCTTTATAAGAGTTGCCTTGGTCATATTGTCTGTTCACAGCAGTAAAACCCTAAGACAACCATGAAGTGGATATGAATTCTAGTGTATGTTCCTTGTACTTATAATTGGAAAAAAGGTGCTCACATTCAAAATGTCACTGAAAACTTTATTAATGTTTTTTCCTCTCTCCATTTAGTCTGCCTGTCTGTCTGTCTGTCTCTCTCTCTCTGTTTCTCTCTGTCTCTCTCTTTGTCTCTCTCTTTGTCTCTCTCTTTGTCTCTCTCTCTCTCTCTCTCTCTCTCTCTCTCTCTCTCTCTCTCTCTCTCTCTCTCTCTCTTTCTGTCTCTCTCTCTGAGAAAGAGTTTCTCTGTGTAGCCCTGGCTACCCTGGAACTCTCAATGAAGACCAGTCTGGCCTCAAACTCACAGAGATCTGCCTGCTTCTGCCCCGAGTGTTGGGATTAAAGGCATACGCCACCATCGCCTGGCACCTCTCTTCATTTCGCTGAAGGAATCTAGAGAATTTTTTTTCTACTACTAGGCTGAGGCACAACTAAATGAGATGCTATACTTTGTTATTGTTTATTCTAGTGTGAGCTAGTACTGACCGATACCTGTGAGCTGGGACTCAAAGATAAGGTTCAGAGCACAGCTCCTTGTTCTAGAAGCGCTTGGTATTCTTCCTATGCCCAAGTTCCAGCACAGAGATCTGCATTGTTTTCTTTTTCTCAAAAAAGGGACAAACTGGAACTCTTTGTGTACTTAAAATAGCTAAATAAATGATAACTCAAGAAACTTAGGAAAGGAAAGGGGAGTGGCTGGGGAGACACTGTAGCTTTGGTTTAGTTGATTTGGAGTGGCTGGGGAGACACTGTAGCTTCGGTTGTAGTTGATTTGGCAGAACACTGGAAACACCTGCATCTCTGTTTGGAGACCTTAGGAGCTCCTCATTCCTTGAGAAGTTTCTAGACACCATCCTTCTAGGGAGCCTCTCCCAGCTCCTGCTAGCTTATTGCTAAGCAATCCCAGAGGAGTTTCTGTGGTTAGTCCCTCCCTGGATAGCTGTGCTTATTTCCACAACGATCCTATGTGCCCAAGTGCAAAATGCAGACGTTGTGTCAACTCATTAATACAGTGAATCAGGGCAGCTTATCACCCCAGCCTCCAGAAGGAAGAGCCGTGAGAGATTTGATTAACTGCTGTTGGTTCTGAGACAGATACCATTTAATTCTCTACTATTTGTTTTCTGTGTTGATAGCACTCTTTTGATTAGTATCTTCTGCCTTTCTCTGAAATGGAAGCTGCTTTCATTGGTTTTCTGGTGTTAATTTTTTTTCTCCTCCTCTTCTTCCTCTTCCTCTTCCTCTCCCTCTATCTCTTCCTCCTCCTCCTCCATCCTCCTCCTTTTTTTGTTTTTGGTTGTTGTTGAGTTTTTGAGTCTCAAACCCCACTGTCCTGGCTGTCCTGGAACTTGCTGCGTAGACCAGGCTGGTCTTGAATTTACAGAGATCTGCTTGCCTGTGCCTTGTGATTAAAGCTAGGAGGTGGAGGCAGGAACATCAGGAGATCATACCAGCTTTGTCCATGTGTGTTCCCAGCCCCAAATAATGACAAACACAAAGAAAAACTGTGATTTCTTTAGTAACACATGAGTATAATATTTTGAGTATAAGCCTGTCGTGCTGAGATGAAGTTTGAATTAGCCATGCAGACTAGCTAGTAATATGAAATCTATTTGACTGCCCAGCTTCCTGTTTTCTTTTCTCTCTTTTTTTCTTTTTCTTTTTCCTCCTCCTCCTCCTCCTCCTCCTCCTCCTCCTCCT